CCAGGCAGGGGGCGCAAGGCGCTCCCCGAGCCGGGAGGTGTTTGTGAGGCTCCACATCCCCATTCCAGGCATCTGGAAGTTACTGGAGCATGAAGAATAGATTCCTTTTTTTTTGCCCACGAACACATTTTTTGGGGATGCTGCCTTTCTGCTCGGTTAACTCAGCACACCTTTCCTCCCCACGCTCCCCTCGCTGCCCTGATCTGGCCCCTTAAAGGAAGAACGGGGCAAATCCCGCCACACCCCAGCTCTTCCCACCACACCCCAGCTCATCCCACTCCATCCCAGCTCTTCCCACCCCATCCCAGCTCATCCCACTCCATCCCAGCTCTTCCCACCCCATCCCAGCTCTTCCCACCCCATCCCAGCTCATCCCACTCCATCCCAGCTCTTCCCACTCCATCCCAGCTCATCGCACCCCATCCCAGCTCTTCCCATTCGATCCCAGCTCTTCCCACCCCATCCCAGCTCTTCCCACCCCATCCCAGCTCATCCCACCCCATCCCAGCTCTTCCCACCCCATCCCAGCTCATCCCAGCTCATCCCACCCCATCCCAGCTCTTCCCACCCCATCCCAGCTCATCCCAGCTCATCCCACCCCATCCCAGCTCTTCCCACCCCATCCCAGCTCATCCCAGCTCATCCCACCCCATCCCAGCTCTTCCCACCCCATCCCAGCTCATCCCAGCTCATCCCACCCCATCCCAGCTCTTCCCACCCCATCCCAGCTCATCCCAGCTCATCCCACCCCATCCCAGCTCTTCCCACCCCATCCCAGCTCATCCCAGCTCATCCCACCCCATCCCAGCTCTTCCCAAGCCCTCCCGTGCTGCTCTGAGCTGTCCTGACCTTGCTGGGCTCCCTCCTGCCTGTGCTGCTGCCCAGAAATGTGGGATTTCAGCCAATATCAGAGCCAATGCACAGGCAAGGTGGTTTCCTGAGCTAATTCCCAGAAATCATTTGCACGTTCTGCTGGTCCACTGGGGCAGGAGATGAATATTTTGGTGGCTGAGCCCCAAGAGAGGCACTTTGAGTCATTCCGTGCCCCTTTTTTCCCACAGCTCCTGTGATGAACTGGCAGCAGGATGAGCCTCGGGCTGGGATTGCATCTGGCTGCGGGATCCACCTCACCTTTGGGTCAGGAAGGAGCTTCTGCTGCTGCAAAAACAGCAACAAATCATGGTTTTGGTTGAAATTTTCCATTCTGACAGGGACAGCGAGGCTGCAGATGAGTTGTAATGACCAGCGCAACCCACTGCAGATATTCCAGCTGCCCTGACAGCCTGAACCAGGGAATAAAATCAGGAAAAGCAGCTCGTGTGCTGTCCCCCACCGGGGCAGGATGCTCTGGGCCGCGGGGGGAGGATCTCCAAAAGCTCCCTGATGTCCTGGGGGCAGATGGAGCTGCAGAATCCTTGTCCCTGCGAAGGACAGGGCGGAGCAGCACTCTGGGATGCAGCTGGCAGAGCCCTGGAGCACGGAGGGTGCTGGGAAGGGCACTGCTGCAGCTCCGAGATGTCCAGACTCTGCTCAGCGTGACACCCCAGCCTGCCTGGTGACAGATCTCCTCCCTGGGAGATGTTTGCTGGCATTTTCCCTCTGCCTTGGAATCCTGCGGGCAAGGAAATGCTCTCGATGCCTTTGGCCCCAGAGATCTCACAGGCAGGAAGGTTTTCCCCGAGGGTGTTTCCTGCAGATCCATCCCTCAGGAGCCACCTCCATCACTCCAGGGTGGCCTCCAGGCCGTGTCCTGCTGGAGCTCATGGAAAGTCCCAGCCCTCGGCCAGGGAACAACTTGCAGGTCCCCAAACCCTGTGACCCATGTCCCAAAATAGCACCTCAGCCGAGGCACTGACGCAGCCCCCGGGCTCAGGAATAACCTTCCCTGCACGTCACCTGTGTCCCAGCAGGCGAGCAGGGGCTCAGCCGGGCTGGAAATTGGAAAGATGCGTCTAAAAGAGGAACAGCAAAGGGCTGCTCCCCCCAGCAGTGACTTTTAGCCCAGATCAGAGCCCGCAGTGCTGGGCAGGGGAGAGGAAAACAGCCCTGCTCCCTCCCTGCTGCCTCCAGGAATGCCAGGAACTGCAGGGGACCTTGGAGAGTCTGTGGGGTTTATTGACCCTCCTGCCCCAGGGGGATAAAGCAGCTGGGCAGCAGCAGCAGCAGCAGGGGAATAGATTCTTCCAGACCGATTTTCTCCCAGTTCTGGATCCTGGGGTTTTAGGGGAAAATAGGATTTAGAGCAGAGCTGGGAGCAGTCTGAGCCCATCCTCGCTGGCTTCACACCCCTGATGGGTCAATCAGGGGTTCTCCCAAAGCTCAGGAGGGCACAAACGATGGATTTTAGGCCCCTTATGAGCAGGAAGGCTCATCCTGCTGGGAGCGTCCTGGGAAGAGGATCCCGAGGTCTGCACAGCCCCAGAGCAGCAGCTGGAAGAGCAGAGGGAGCTCAGAGCAGCCTCTGCCCCCACGCTGGGGCAGCACCAGCAGCACGGCCCTGCCCTGGACCAGCTCCCAGTGGGAGCTGCCTGAGCAGGGAATAACTTTGGAATAACTTTGGAATAACTTTGGAATAACTTTGGAATAACTTTGGAATAATTTTCCCTTCCCAGCTGCTGTCCTGAATCCCTGGGGCTCCAGCTGGGAGCTGCTGCTGCTCAGCACGCCCTGATGCAGGCAGGTTGGGAGAGGTTATTCCGTGTCAGTGCCGCACTGACGGGATATGGGGGGACTCACACACCTCTGGTGTGCCTCAGTTTCCCCAGCTGCCCCAGCCCGGCCATCCCAAGGATCACAGTGGGGAGGGAATTGTTCAGCCTTGGAGGAAATGGATGTGGTGTGCCTGTCCTTCAGCCGTCCCAGGGCAGAGCATCCGCCGGGGCCGCTCGGGAGCGGCAGAGAGGGAGAACTCTCCAAGGTGCTCCGATCACAGCGGGCTCTCCTGTCCCTTCCACGCCCGCAGCATCCCCTCCCTCGCTGCCAGGCGTCCCCTCGGCCCGCGGCAGCAGTGTCACATCCGATCGGCTGCCAGGCAGGATAAACATCGCCGCTGCTCGGCCCGAGGCTGCTGCGGGGAGGGGAGACAGTCAAGGAGAACGCGGAGCGTGAGCAGCTAAAAATAGCGGCTGGCGAGGGCTCCGCTCGCCGCGGGGCGCTGCCACTCGCCCGTCCCCACGCGTGAGCGGCCGCGGCCACCAGTGTCACCAGTGTCCCCCCCACCCCACCTCCCCCGGCTGCCGCCGCAGCCCTGCCGAGATTTTGGGGTGCGGGGGTACCGGACTCGAGCCGTGCCCTGGTGGCGCTGCCCGTGTCGCTGTCCCCTGGCACAGCCGGGGCTGTCCCTGCGGGGTGCGGGGCTCAGGGGGACATCAGGGCCGGCAGCAGCGGAGCGGCCAGCGCCGTGTCCCCGCGGGCTGCGGGGGAGGGCAGGGAGGGACACCGGGCTCCAGGGGAGGGCAGGGAGGGACACCGGGCTCCGGGGAAAGGCAGGGAGGGACACCGGGCTCCGGGGGAAGGCAGGGAGGGACACCGGGCTCCAGGGGAGGGCAGGGATGGACATCGGGCTCCAGGGGAGGGCAGGGATGGACATCGGGCTCCGGGGGAGGGCAGGGAGGGACACCGGGGTCCAGGGAAAAGCAGGGATGGACACCGGGCTCCAAGGGAGGGCAGGGAGGGACACCGGGGTCCGGGGGAGGGCAGAGATGGACACCGGGCTTCGGGGGAAGGCAGGGAGGGACACCGGGATCCAGGGGAGGGCAGGGAGGGACACCGGGCTCCAAGGAAAGGCAGGGAGGGACACCGGGCTCCGGGGGACGGCAGGGAGGGACACCGGGCTCCAGGGAAAGGCAGGGATGGACACCGGGCTCCGGGGGAAGGCAGGGATGGACACCGGGCTCCAGGGAAAGGCAGGGATGGACACCGGGCTCCAGGGGAGGGCCGGGAGGGACACCGGGCTCCAGGGAAAGGCAGGGATGGACACCGGGCTCCAGGTGCTGAGCATCGCCCACGGCCATCGGCCAGAGCCGGGAATTTGGGATCACGCCCCAGCCCCGCTCCTGCTGGGAGCAGCGTCCCACTGCAGGGATGGGGAACCCGTCACCCTTGGGGGTCCCTCCCAAAGTACACCCCGCTCCCCCAGCCCTGGGGACAGCCGCCTTCAGGGCCAGGAGGGACATTTCGGAGCCCCTCACCAGCCCCGCGGGTCTCCCAGCGGCAGGGATGCCGATGGAAGCGCTGGGAGATGGTTCCTGCTCCTGCGTGGAATCCAGCCGGTTTTAATTCCCGCTCTGCCTCCCCCACCTCGCTGCCCTGACCCGGCTCGGGGCTGGGGGTGAGGACCCCATCTCACACCCTCGGCATTGGCCGTGTCCCCGCCTCAAGGTGACAGCGGTGTCAGGCCAGGAGCAGCTGGTGGCATCTGCTCCGCGCCCAGGCTGTGCCCGGCGGGGCCAGCCCCGTGCGGGGCACAGTGCGGGGCTGTGCCGCGATCCGCCAGCCGCAGTCAGGGTCTCCCAGCCCCCCGCCCCCTCCCCCACCCGCCACATGCCACACGGCTGCACCACGGATTTGTTTTAATTCTCTTTTTTCCCCACCTATGATTCGGAGCCTGTCATTGATTTTGGCTGCACTAAATGGAGCCGTGTGGGTTGGGGTCAAATCGTCCTGGTGGGGGAGCAGAGCCCCCTCAACCCACCCCCCCCGGGGGGCTCTGCAGCCGGGGAGCCGAACCCAGAGGGAATGGGAGTGGATTTCCCCATTTCCCCCAGCAGGGCCGGTGGCCACGCGGGGCTGCGGGACCCACGCCGGGCTGGGGGCTGCAAGTGGGGCAGAGTCACCCGGAGCTCGGCCCCGGGGGATGTCACAGCCCTCCCTCCCCTTGTGTCGGCGCGGGGGGACGCGGGGACACAGCGGCCCGGGGGGGCCGGGGGGCGGCCCCGGCGGCGGGGGAGCGGGGGGGCGGCGGGCGGGGCCGGCGCTGGGTCCCCCCCGCGCCGAGCGGGGGCCGGGCCGGGCGGCAGCGGCGGCGCTGGGCGGGCGGCGGCGGCGGCGGCTCGGCCCCGGGTGCCCCAGGGCCGCCTGGAGCCGGAGGCTTCCCCGCGGCTCCTGCCGAGCGCGGAGCATCCTTCCCCCGGCAGCCGGGCTGGCACCGGCACCGGCACCGGCACCGGCATCGGCATCACCATCGGCACCGGCACCGACACCGCAATCAGCATCAACGGCGGCACCGGCATCGCCCCCGGCACCGCCATCCCACCGCCCCCGGCCCCGGCAGCAGCATCACCTCCGGTGCCACCATCACCTCCGGCCTCGGCACCGGCCCCGGGATCGCTGCCCGCACCAGGTGAGCCGCCGGCGGCTGCGGGGCGCAGGTGACGCGGTGGCACCGAGGCCCTGGGCCACCGCGGAGGGTGCCCCAGGCTCACAGGGGCAGGGGACCAGGCGTCCAACCCGGGGATTGGTGCCCACCCTGGAGATTGGGTGCCCACCCCGGGCACCTCCCTGGGAAGGTGGAGAGGCCGGGGGTCAGGGGATGGCGGTGGCCTCGGGGACAGATGGGTTTTTGGGGGCTGACAGTTGGCAGCAGCTGCGGTGGGGTGTCTCTCGAGGGCTTGGGGTGTCTGTGCCCACCCTCCCCAGGGGCAGGGGGCTGTGCGGAGGATTTGGGGGAGCAGTGCTGAGGCACCGAGCGAGGCTCGTCTGTCTCAAGGTGGGCATTCAGATCAACCCCCATGGCGGCACCTCTGTCGCGCCCTGGCACTCACCCCCTGCATGTCCTGGGTCCCCCCTGCCCTCTCCTCCTCTCAGCTACCGCTTCCACCCCCACCCCGGCTCCAGCCCTCCGCTTCCCGGGCGATTTGGGCCCAGGGAGCTGCGGGGGTCCCCAGGCACGGGGAGTCCCCCCGGGGCTGAGCACCCCGTGCAGGGGACACAGTAACGCTCCTGTGCTGCTCCTCCCGGGAGGAAAGGGCTTCCCCCGGGGACAGCCCCTCCTCCCCGCCTCCGGGGCATCGTTCTGGCAGGTTGCCCCTGCAGATGCTTGGATCGCGTCCCTTCGGTCCCCGGAGCTGGCTGCTGTCCCCTGGCTGGGTGGCAGTGCCACCGAGGAGGTGGCAGAGGCAGGATGTCCCCTGCTCACCCCGAAAGCTCCCAGCCCGTGACCTTGGGGTGTCCGCCAAGGGACACCTCAGTCCTCGCTGTCACAAAGGGACACAGCCCCGCCGCTGTCCCCTGTCCTCACCCTCACCTGCTCAGCACCATCGCCCCCCAAAAAGCAGGAGATGGGCAAGCGGAAGGGTGGTGGCAGAGCCAGAGTCTCACTTCTTTAAACTGAGGGAATCCCAGCGTTTCTCCTCGCTCTGGGATGCTGGGGGCAGGGTGGGGGTGCTCTCGGGGGGGCCCTGGGGCTTTGGTTGTGAGGAGACCTCGGGCTGCAGCTCCTGGGGCAGCTGCAGGAGCTCTGCTGGGTGCTCCAGACCTTGGGGGACCTGGCACCATGAACAGGATGGGGATTCCAGGCCTGCTCTGCCCTTGGCTCCTGGAATGGCAATTCCAGCTCCTGGAACAGCCAATTCCAACTCCCTTGGCCCCTGGAATGGGCAATTCCAGCTCCTGGAATGGCAGTTCCACCTCTTTTGGCTCCTAGAATGGCAATTCCCACTCCTGGAATGTGCAATTCCAGCTCCTGGAATGGCAGTTCCAGCTCCCTTGGCTTCTAGAATGAACAATTCCAGCTCCTGGAATGGCCAATTCCAGCTGCTGGAATGTACAATTCCAGCTCCTGGAATGGCAGTTCCAGCTCCTTTGGCTCCTAGAATGACAATTCCAGCGCCTGGAACAGCCAATTCCAACTCCCTTGCCCCCTGGAATGGGCAATTCCAGCTCCTGGAATGGCCAATTCCAGCTCCTTTGGCTCCTAGAATGGCAATTCCTGCTCCTGGAATGACAATTCCAGCTCCTGGAATGGCAGTTCCAGCTCCTTTGGCTCCTAGAATGACAATTCCAGCTCCTGGAACAGCCAATTCCAACTCACTTGACCCCTGGAATGTGCAATTCCAGCTCCTGGAATGGCAGTTCCAGCTCCCTTGGCTCCTAGAATGAACAATTCCAGCTCCTGGCTCAGCCCTGGGCCATTGGAACGGGCTCTGTTCCATCCCAGATTTCCAGCTGTGCCTCTGATCCCAGAGCACCTACATGAATTTCTTCCCTCCCTGGCCTTTGTTCCCCTCCCTGGTGGCTTCCCAGAGCCGGGGTTTGTCACAGGGCGGAGGTGACAGCTGGGGGATCCCGATGGTGCCCCAGCCTCGGTGCAGGGAAACATCTGGATCTCCTCCAGACGAGGTCCCGCTGCTGCTGGGGGTTGCTGCCTCAGAGCTGGGTGTCCTGGGGCTGTTCCAGCTCCCCTTGGCTGAGCTGCAGCGGGAAGGATCCGCAGCACCCGGGGCTGGGGAAGCCGTGCCCGGGGCTGGGGAAGCCATGCCCGGGGCTCCCCGGAGAGCCAGAGCTCCCCGGGCAGCTCCAGCTGCCTCTGCTCCCCGGCATTCCGGGTGCTGCACTTACACCAGTGGTCTGCAGGGCTGGGAGCCCCCTCCACTCCCAGCTGCAGCGGGGTCCTCTCCAGGTGCCACCTTTCCGCTCGTGCAGGGAGTGAGGCTGTCACCCGGCCCCTGGCACTCCCTGGGATGTGCTTGGTGGCACCCAGCTGGCACCCTGTGCCAGCCCACAGCTCCCTGGGTTTCCCCTGGCACCAATCCCGGTGCCACCCACGGCTCCACAGCCGGAAGAAACGAGGGTGTCCCCGTCCCCATCCCCGGGCGGTGTCACCCAGCCCCACCCGGGCTGCTCAGGCTGGAGCAGAGGTAGAAAACCCTTTGGGAGGAGGAACCTGGCGAGGAATGGAACTGCTGGGGATGTGGGTGACACGTTTATTATTCAAAATTACCCGGTTTTATTATGCAAAATTACAGTTTGTGGCGTGTCGGAGCAGGGAACTGAGGGTTCTGCTGGGAGCTCCATTACCCAGGGCTCAATCACCCTAATTACCCTCATTAGATCCTTTCCTTCCTCACGGAGCTGCTGTTGACTCCCTGAGTGGAGCTGGGCTACCCAGGCTGGGTTATCCAGGCTGGGCTATCCAGGTTATCCATGCTGGGCTATCCATGCTGGGGTATCCAGGCTGGGTTATCCTGGTGCCAGCTCTGTCTCGTGGGGCTGGGGATGGCTCCCATCCCCCTCATGCCAAAGGGGCCGTGGTGTTTCCTGTGGCAGCACATTTCTCTCCCTCTCAGGATTTTCATAGAGGTGCACAGAGAGAAATGAAAGAGAAAACAATTTCTATTTCTGCTCCTTGTTTTTCCTATGTGGAATGCCACTTATTGTAAATGCAGGCGAACCCAATGGGAAGAAATGATGATGTCTGACTCAATTCAGAAGGCTGAATGATTTCTTTATTATAACTATGCTAAAATACATTAATATGCTATATAAAACAAGGATACTAAAACTACATACTACTTTCTCTGACTCACACAACTTGTGACCCTCTCTGAGAGCCCAGCCCCAGGTGGGTTGGATTGGCCACCAGGCTCAAACAATCCTCACCAGAGTCCAACCAAGCATCACCCCAGGTAAACAATTCTCCAAACACATTCCACATAGGAAAAACAAGGAGCAGAAATATAAATTGTTTTCTCTTTCATTTCTCTCTGTGTACCTCTATGAAAAATCCTGAGAGGGAGAGAAATGTGCTGCCACAGTTTCCCCCGGGACTCAAAAAGGACCTGGACACAGCCGATGGGGCTGAGGAATGTGGGGAAGGGAGGCTCACCCAGCACCTCTGTAGGGCCCCTGATAGGCACCCAAACTCCCCAGCAGGAATTCCTGTGCTCCTCCCACCGTTCCAACTGATTACCTTTAATCAGTTAATTAAAGGGAATTAACTGATGGGGGTGGAGGATGGAACAGGAATAGCTCTGGAACAGGTCACAGCCTACAGGCTGGAGAACACCTGGCTGGCCTGGGAGTGGCTGGAGCAGCTTCCATTCCTTCCTGGGATGGGGTGGGATCCTTTCCTTCCTTCCTTCCTTCCTTCCTTCCTTCCTTCCTTCCTTCCTTCCTTCCTTCCTTCCTTCCTTCCTTCCTTCCTTCCTTCCTTCCTTCCTTCCTTCCTTCCTTCCTTCCTTTCCCTTCCTTTCCCTTCCTTTCCCTTCCTTCCTTTCCCTTGTGCCAGGCTGGATCCTAGAGCTGTCCCCTCCCCTGGCACAGGGATTCAGGGCTGCCAGCCCTGGGGATTTGCCACCTTCCCACAGGGAGCAGCCATGGCTGGTGGTTTCTGGCTGCTTTTCCCACCCCTCCTGCTGTCCCTGAGCCGCTGTCCCTCCCGTGCTCTGCCCAGCACACGGATCAGAGCTGGCACGAGCTGATCCCTGCCCCAGGGGTGCCCTCCTGCCAGGCTGCTCCATCCCTGCCATTCCCTGAGCCCCAGGGCCTCCTGGCAGAGGGATCTCACCCTTTGCAGCCTCCACAATCCCTGATCCATGTGCTGGGAAAAGCCAGAGATCCTCGTTAGGAGCAGAGAGTGATGGAAACATCCCCAGGGAGAGCAGCAGGGGTGGGCAGCAGGGATGTGTGCTGGGCTGGGAGCCCCAGAGGATGCCAAGAGGAGCTGGGATTTGCCCATTCCCTCTCTGGGCACCGTGGGCAGCACAGCTGAGGTTCTCCAGGTTTTCCATGCCCTCTCCTGGAGGTTTGGGATGCAGATGAAGCCCTGCAGTGTCACCCATGTCCTCGTGTCAAAGCACCCGCTGAGCCCTCGGTGCTTTGCTCTCGAATTAGAGCAGCTCCGGCCTGTCCAGGGCTGGAATCCAGGTGCTCCGGAGGGAATCCCACATCCAGCTCTGCCCGCTGCTTTCAGCATCTTTCCAGGTGCCCTGTGTGCTGCTCCCAGAGAAAAACACCTCGATTTTATCCCAGTGTGACTCGTGGGAGATGCTGAGCTCAGCAGGATGTGCCAGGATTAAACTGCTGAGCCCCTGGAGCGCCTGGGGGATCCAGAGGGGATTTTCTCAGGGCAAGCCAAGCCCTGCTGTGGGATGTGGTGTGAGCACCCCCAGGTCTGGAAGCGCCTGGGTTTGGGTTAGCACAATTTGGGTTTGCTCAGGGAAATTTAGGATGGGATGTCCAGGAGCACAAGCGCTGGGTTCACTCCCACACCGGAGCAGGGCTCACTCTGGTTCGTGTTTCCAGCGTTAAAAACCAAAGGGACAGGTTACACCAAGAGCCCGAAATCCCGTCTGGACAGACTCAGCTTGGATTTTGGGCAGAGCTGAACTCTGCCGTCATCCC